AATTACTTAAGAAGCACCTCCTCCAAGTAGAGCTGCCTCGGGGACCAATGGGGCGCGACGTGAAATAATTGCTTTTCTTTAATTACTTAAGGTGTGAGCATTGTGGAGAAATGTGCTTCTCTGTTTGCTTTGAGTTTAAAGTGCTTTTGCGGATGCCTTTTCACCTCCTCCCGGCTCCGGAGATAATACTTTTGTGGTCAAACATTAGATACTGAAGTTGCAGACTTTGCTGCTTGCTACTGTATCTGAAGAGGGGCATGGCATCAGGTCTGCATGAGCAGCAACATATTTATTATCAAATTCCTGCATCCACACTGCGAATCTCCTCCAAAATAACAACTTATGCCATTAGTGAGTTAGTTAAACTAACACATTCTGATGTCTGCATAACCTCTCCTATCAGGGGGAAAATTTAAAACATGTTGTTTTGAAGCTTTGTGTATGAACTCTGTCAATGCATTCCCTTTGGTTTAACATTTAAATTGCTGAAGGTATTGTTTAATGAGAAACCCTATGGACACAGTCTGAAGTGTTTGTTGTAGTTGTCTAGTAAGACCAGATGCACTCACATCCCGGCACAGTCTGTCCATTGGATTTCTGCTGACAGATCCCTGGCATAGCGTGATGTTGTATGCAACTCTCTATGCAAGTGATGTAGCCTTTGGCGCTTCATTCTGTCCCTTTCACTTTAGTCCTTCACATTTTTCCAGCTCTCGTCAGCTTGACCCGTTTTAAAATGCCACAATCATCAAAGGGAAAAAAGCTTATGAAATGTCTGTTAGTGCTGAGCCCTGACTTCCTTTTCAAAACCTTTCTGAACGCCAGGGCTCCCTACCACCTGATAAGACATCCAGGTGCCCTGGGTGGTGTCCAAATGGCAGCCAGACTCCACTCCAGTCCTTGGCTCTCTGCATTGAGTCTGTTTCTACGCGATCTCCCTCATCCTTTTTGTCCCTTCACATTTCATAAATCGTTTGTAAAATGCCATTTCAAAGTACAGTATTTTTGTATTGATAAATGAAGTCCACTTTCAGTTCATTTCTTGCACTAAGCTGGGGAAATATTTACTCCGTCAGCAGCTTCATTATCGACTCTGCTGTTTCCAAGATACGTATTGTGTAATGTTGTGTGTCTCGGGAACATTTCTACAAGGTGATGTGAAGTTTTTGCAGTAGCTAACCTTATCGACTTTGTGCATTATTCATGGAAGAGGTCATTCCAGTTTAGATTGCTTTGGGCCACCCCCCTCAGATTTGGGAGCACTGCAGTCTTTGCTTTGTAAGATTTTGGATTTGTTACGTTTGTCCTTGAGGCTTGGGGCAAAACTAAGCTTTCTCTGTGTTTATTTTCCCCTCCTTCAATTCCCTGTTCTCAGATTGTACAAGTTGTTTAAAAATAAAAGTAGTATTAAAAAGTAAAAAAGAAAAATAAACTATATTGAAGGGAATGTGTGTTTTGAAATAGTAAAGTAAATTCCAGACATGGATCAAACAAAATGTTACATTCAGTGTGACTGTAGTAGATGGACCGGAAGCATGCTGGCAAAGTGGGACATGGAGTTCATCTCTGATACATCTGAACAAGTCACTGCACACAAAAGAAAACAATCTGACTTTAGATAAAATCCATGTTAACTAATACATTGCTGTGATGTTTTGACACCACAGGACTTTTGTGTGAGATTCAGTTGCATAGTGTCACATTGGGAATAGTGCTTAGAAGCAGCTTAAGAGAAACTTCCCTCTCTGTAAAATACAGTATGTGATTGGACTCTCTGAGAGTAACCCACTTTCTCTGTTATCACAAAGTGTCGAACATGCACAAAATGTGAAGATGAGTCTTTTAAATGAGAACAGTCTGTGTGTCCGTGAGGCATGTGGCTGCAATGAAAGCCTATCCAACCATTGCAATCTCTGGAGAGAAAACATTCAGGCTGCTTTGATATCATCCTTTTTGCGCTTGTCTTTGCTTACTCCTTGTTGGGATGGCTGTGTCCCATATCACCTCGAGCGTTTTGGCGAAATAGGGTGGTTTTAAATAGGTAAAGTGATTCTTTTTAGTCTGGGAATGTGGGAAATGTCTAGTGACCCAGGTAATATTAGTTATAATCATGGGATTTGAACTTTTCTCATACTGATAAGGTAATAGAAGCAGTTTTATGTCTCAAATCTAAGCTCTTGGCTCTCTCTGCTTTTGGCTCGTCATTTCTGCTAGCCTTCACCATAATTAGAATGTGATTTAACAAAGCAATTAAAATACTGTCAAGGGTTTTCAGATGTGCGCATTGAGTTTTGTTATTGCAAGTCCCTCGTGATTTGGGCAGGAAATAACCCATGTTTTGTATCAGAAAAATGTTGTTAAGAATGTAATTTTATACAATTTCATAAAAGAACATTTACTTATGCTAGCATTTACTTTTTGGAGACTGTATGCCACCGCCCTGACCAATTCCATGAAAATATGCAATAGAGCGGGGTCACTTTCTAAAATTAACAGGCAAAATCCGAGAAATTGTCTTCACAATTCACAACTATGGCTGTAATTTGGCTGTATCATTTAATGCAGTGTGGCCTTGCTACTCAGTGCCCTGTGAACTCTGCCTCAATATCACTCAAAACGTGGAGACGAGGCAGCTCATCCATAGAGTATTTTCTACTTGTAGTGGAGAGAATGGTGTTCTCCTGATGCACAAATAGTAGTTTTGAGCTTAGATTTAGACTTTTATTTGACAAACACATGGTGTCCATGTACGCCTTCCTCTCTATCCCCTGAGCTTTACAGCGGACCTGGACGGACTGACCCAAGCTGAGGCAGTTGGCCAGGTCTGCTCCAATGTCTGAGTTGGAACTGAGCAGAGACAGAGGATGTGGATATGCTGTAAAAAAACATTCAGTGTTCATAACTGGATTCTGTGAGAGGGAAATGCCTAAATTAGTGCTTTGTGTCTGTGAAAGGTGCTGTATAAAGATGACTTACTTTGGTTGATTGGGGAAATGACAAGTAAGTAAGTAATGTTTATTTACTGTATATAGCGCATTTTTACAGACCAAGGTCACCCAAAGCGCTTTACAATGTTCAGAGTTCAGATATTGTTCCAATCATTCCACACCCGGTGATGACGGAAGCGAGTCGCCGAACACACTGGCGCATCAGCCCCCAATCAACACCATCCAATCACTCTCTATACATTCATACCTACTGTACATGTTTTTAGTGGTGGGGGAAACCGGAGCACCTGGAGGAAACCTGCACAGACACAAGGAGAACATTCTAACTCCACTCAGAAAGGCCCTCTCCGACCGGGATTCAAACCCAGGACCTTCTTGCGAAGCGAGAGTGCTATCCACTCAGCCACCGTGCCGGCAAATGTACAAATGTATAGGCCTTTATCAACATTTATGGACATTGGCCATCTGCCCGTTATGGACCAATGGCTCTATGTGTTTTTTATCATTGCATTTTTTGTGTTGGATAACTACAGTCGTGATTTAGGGCTACAGGAATACATTTAATTGAATTGATTTCTTATGAATTTTGTTGTTTTACAAAAATCTTTCAATACCAGCGATCATCATCTATGGGCAAGTTTTGGCTTAAGGGGAATGTCAAAAGATGAGAGAGCAATTTGAAAGAGAGACCACATATTGTACAAATTGATAAGACAAAATAAACTATATTGATCTCACAATGGAGAAGTTTACATCAACACAAATCAATCTATTAAACATGCAAAATACAAACATTAAGACATCACTCATTTCTGTGTGTGTATCTCAAACAGTTTCTAAACAGAAATAAGTATAAGGTCATAATGTACAGTATAGGCAAATGACTGCTTCAAAAGTAAAGTAAAAATACAGGATCATCATCAGCATGAGAGGCACAGTTCACTTAACAGCCATTAGCATCAATAGATTAAAGGAAAACATATGTGCAAAAGGGCTCTAAAATATCAGCCCGCAGCCTGAACCTTTCAGTGCCCGTACTCTGCGCTTCCTCTGATGCAAGCTGCAACTTTCACTGTTTATTCCCACATCGCTCCCACTTATCTCGCGCCTTTCAGTGCAGATGGCGCTACAAACAAACTGCCGGCGTTTGACTCATGTTTCATAAAAGCCAGCCAATTACAGCAAACATATTCTTAGCCATTTGCCATGAATGACTTCAATGAAAGTGTTTCAGCGCTTAATTCACTTTTGCGCCTTGAAAATTGTTCTCTCTCTTTTTTAGCAGTGTTAGGGTCCAATTTAGTTGTAGGGAGCGCCGGTGGGAGTAGGAGCCGCCTCGTCACTGTAGGAGGGTTAAATTGTGATTAATTTGGACTTGTTTTGTCAGTGCAGGAAGCCACAAAAAGCTCATTACAATCAGTTGGGTTTTGTCACAGTCTGGGTTCCCTGTAATCTCCCATAGAGACAGTGCAATGCAGCCGCAGTGAATATGCGTTGATGATGATTACATGATTTATGCATGAACGTCATACCTCGAGACCATTTAGAAAACCTCCAAATTGTCAACTATTCTCTAAATGTTTGTTTTTTACAGCCTATGATATTGCTCACAATCTTCAAAGTGGCTCTTCTGTTTAATATAGTACTCTATATTCTAATTCTAATCGTGCAGGATAGTTCAGGCAGGAGGTGTCCTCAAACTTAGCGTGGAGTCAGAACCCAGGGCACAAAAGTGAAATGTCTCTTGTCACGTGGGTGAAATTAAATGAGACCCAAAATGCAAAACTGCAAAAAGTAATGGATTTAATAAAAAGATGAAACAAATCCAAAAACCACAAAGAACGAGGACATAACTAAAACAGACTAGGGAAGACAATGATGGAACAGGGAGTGAAGGAACACACAGGGCTAAATACAAGACTAACGAGACACAGGTGATACACATGAGGGCAGGGCTGGTAAGACAGGAAGAGCAACCAAAGCAGACACAGGGATATAACAAACTACAAAATAAAACAGGAAATAAATCTAAACCATGACAGTACCCCCTCCTCAAGGGACGGATCCCAGACGTCCAAAAAACAACCAGGGAGGGAGAGGGACCGTAGGAAAGGCAGGAGCTGGGACGTGGAGCCGGGGTCGGGACGTGGAGCCGGGGTCGGGACGTGGAGCCGGGGTCAGGACGTGGAGCCGGGGCCGGGACGTGGAGCCGGGACGTGGAGCCGGGACGTGGAGCCGGGGCCGGGACGTGAAACCCGGGGCCGGGACGTGAAACCCGGGGCCGGGACGTGAAACCCGGGGCCGGGACGTGAAACCGGGGCCGGGACGTGAAACCGGGGCCGGGACGTGGAGCCGCCGAGCTGGAACCCGGCAGGGTTGGAGCAGCAGCTGGAGCGGGGACTAGAGCGAAGCAGGTACGAAAACCGGAAGGCCCCCTGGATGGAGAAACGATGTCCAGCGGAGCCAGGTCAGGGACGAAGGCCTGCAACCACCCAGGACGGAGCAAAGTGTCCTGCAGTGGTCCAGGACAAAGACAAGAGAGGGATGCTTCCAACTCCTGCAGCAACTCTCCAGTTGGGGATAAAGGCCAGAAAAATTAAAAATGAAGCAGTCTGCTTGGGCCTTGTGTGGTTCCATCATTCTGTCACGTGGGTGAAATTAAATGAGACCCAAAATGCAAAACTGCAAAAAGTAATGGATTTAATAAAAAGATGAAACAAATCCAAAAACCACAAAGAACGAGGACATAACTAAAACAGACTAGGGAAGACAATGATGGAACAGGGAGTGAAGGAACACACAGGGCTAAATACAAGACTAACGAGACACAGGTGATACACATGAGGGCAGGGCTGGTAAGACAGGAAGAGCAACCAAAGCAGACACAGGGATATAACAAACTACAAAATAAAACAGGAAATAAATCTAAACCATGACATCTCTTTCATTATTTACATGCATTTCTTTCCCCCAATGTTAACTTCATTGTTGTTTAATATGCACAACTTAATACATATTCATGCTAGAGTTAGAGACATATTTATGCTAGGGCTGGAGACTTTATTTAATTTTAGTATTTAGTTATCATTAATTTATAGAGATGTTCTACTTGTTTTTTTGATGCTAGAGTTAGGATTTTTGTTCTATTTGAATTATTATAGTTATTGTTCACATACTGTATTTTGTGCTCCTCATTCCTACAGTCTGTAACTTGTGATGCAACCCTGAGCTTTCCCCGCTGTGGGACGAATAGAGTTTCTCTTAATCTTAATCTATTACTCACTGTCACTGTCACATCTGGAATACTGCTTTCCAGTCCTTTGGTCCAGAGCTACGAAGGACGACTTTAGGAAACTGCAGCTGGCCCAGAACAGAGCGGCCCGGGTCGCCCTGGGGAGCTCTGATAGGACCAGTGTGAATGAGCTGCACAACTCCTTATCATGGCGTAAAGTACAGGACAAGTTAACACTATAGGACTCCCAGAATTATGTAACGACCAGAGCCATCATTTTGACTGTTCCCATTGAAATCAGTGGAATTCTGAGAAATTCCGGAGTAATGCATTTATTGTATTTACCTTTACCCACCTCTAATAAGTACTAAAATTGGTAAATATAACTGAAATGGTCCATTTACCATTTGCTGGTATTGTTCAAATCCTCAGATTGTTGGTATAAAGAGTTGCAATAATCATGTGTTACTTGTGGTAACACCACCATTATATAACATTGTATAACTTTAATACATTAATCGCCAATTGGGGAATTGGAGTGGGACTAAATAAGTAATCTCCTTCCCGCTCTCTTTCAGGTAGAATAAAGTAGTCATGCTTACATGCAGTAAATACTGTACATTAACTTTTTGTCCTTTATCGTTTGGCACTATATGACTTGACTTCATGTGTCTACCTTGTTCTTATCGGTGCCAGTGCCTGAAATAAATAAATAATGTCAATCACACATTATACTATTACATTTACTGTTTACTCCCAGAGTTTTCTTTTGAAAAGAATAAGTGACAAAGTTATGAAGACCAACAAGTATATGAGCTGAGATATTACACCTTCAAAACAAGACATCACTTTGACTGCTCTGGGAGTTCTTGTGTTAAAGATTGATTATTATGCCATCTATAAAAGCAATCCTCTATTCTTTAAAGAAAATCAGAGGTTGTTGCCATCAATATGTGACTCTCAAGATCTAATTCCTTTCTCTTTCAAAGTCAAACTGCATGAGAACAGTTGTTTAGATCCTCAGTTACTTGGAATCACCTATCTATGGCATCAAGGCAAACTAATTATAGATATATAAGCCACAGTTATTGGGCTATTTTGTATTGCAATCGCTTTTTAAACTGTATCCTATGTGGAGTGGATCCCAGGAAGACGAGCGACCACTTGTGGAATCTAATGGCGATCCAAATAAAGAAATAACAGAATATTACTTTGGAAGGATAATGACATTCATGACTATTACACTGAATGTTTGTGCAGGGTCCTGGTCCTGCACACACAGCTCTGATGGCCACAATCAGCACAGATGAGTTCTAAAGTTATGTGCAGCTTTTGTGATGAATTCAGTCTAGTGTGAGGAGACACCTTATGTTGTAATTTACATTTTAACAGAACTTTTGTGGTCAAGAAAAAGCACAAATGTGTTCAAAGCTGCGGATGTGTCCTGGGGTTTTTTATTGTTAGACATTTAGGTCTCATGAAGTCTAAGGCATTAAGTGTTGCATCTCCTTGGCCGTCACATGCATTTCCATATGGTGGATGCAAGCTTCTTTTTCAATTTTCTTTCACCATTGATTATTCTTATTCTAAATGTTTGTACTGTGAACAAGATGATTAAATGAAAGCTTCAGAAGCGCTGTTCAATGCACTGTAACCTGTGATCATGAATAACTACTCACATACAAAGACTATTATATAAACTGCTTACCTTGAGATGACAAGACCTTCATTTTTCCATCTCTGGTAACACAAGCGATCTCACCTACATTTTCTTAATCAACGTGAAATCCCAGTGTTTGATTTAACTCCACACTGTCCAGTATCAACACATGTGTAAATGAGGACCAATTCTTTGATGAGTGTAAAGGCATTTGGCCTTGGTGGCAATTTCATGATTAACAGACGGAATATAGTGTAATTTCTGGACTATTAGTTGCACCTGTATATAAGCCGCACCAGCAACATTTTTATGCCTAGCGTACATCGGACTGGCAACTGATTATATCCGAGTTGCTGCCCCACACACATCGACAATCTGGCGAAAACGGTCCTAGTAGCAGGCCAGTCTCGGGAATAACAGCGCGTACATCGACAGCAACTGGCTTCAACTACAGTGTGTTTTCTGACATAAACTGTGGAGGGCGCGCCTACGTCACATGATAACACTCTCAACACATGTTGTTGGAGCGCGCACATGGGGTGATATCTCCGGATCTGAGTACAACTAGTTGCCGAAAAGTAGAACACGGGCAACTGACTGAATCCGGAGATCGACTGTTTATCTCCAGTTGTAAGAGCGCTCACATCGACCGATTTTGGCAACTGATCATCTCTATCATCCCAGTAGTAGTTTATCACCACCGTGTATGGAGTGAATGAATGATGACATGTAAAGCGTCTTTGAGTGTCCAAAAAAGCGCTATATAAAACCAATGCATTATTATTAGCCTTGCAACTAGTTGTCTCCAGTTAGTCGATGTACGCTAGGCCTAAAAGGTCTAAAAGGTCCTAAAAGTAAATATTGTCCACATATCAATCAATCAATCATTATTTGTAGAGCGCCTTTCATACACAGAGCCTCACAAAGCGCTTCGCAGTCCACATCACCCAAGGCACAAATCACCTCATAAAACAAACACCAGAATCACCATTAAAACATTAAAATCACACAAGTAATAAAAAATTAAGCTGTTGATGTTACCGATTTTATGCGGCTATTGAAATTTAGGTCAGAGTCCAGTATTCCCCCTAAATTTCCAACTTTCTCTGAAGGCATTAGGGAGAGAGATTGAAGCTGACAAATGACCCTCTCTCCTTGTTTCTGGGGACCAAAGACAATAGTTTCAGTTTTGTCTGAATTTGTCATTCAGCATTTGAGAAGCGAATCCAGTGGTCTATGTTCTTCTGCAGTCTGTGAGGCATAGATTTGAGTGTTGTCAGCGTAATTGTGGTGGGACACTTTGTTACTTTGTATTAACTGACCTAATGGCAGCATGTAGACATCGAACAGGAGTGGGCCACACTTGAATTAAGGCGCAGGTTTTCATGTTGTAATGTAGCAGATAGACGACTGTCATAACTGGTCACCATATGGTTTAATGTTGAGGTGTTGAGCGTGTTTGTTAGTCTCCATGCCAGTTCTCATTCACCAGTCTATTTCAACAAAACATGATTCTCCTATAGCTACTAAAACATGATGGAATCAAAATAATAACAGCCCATATCTATCACTATGCAGATACACATATTGGCCGCAGCGCTATATAAGCCGCAGGGTTGAAACGTAGAGTCTTTTAATCCGTCATTTTTTTTAATTTTGATTTTTTATTTCCAACCTGCAGGTGTAAAACAAAAATACAAAGTCTGCGTGGCTTATATAAAACCACCCCCCCACACACTCTACAGACAAGTCATTTTCACGAATAATTACAACACAAGACATTGAACATTCAACACAACACAACACACAGGCCCAATACTCACCAACCCCACACCCCTCTCCTACTATCACAATTACATAAACTTATCATGTTCTCTCCTCCAGGTACTTTTCCATCACAAAACTTTAAAAAAAACGTTTGAACTGTGTCAAATTTAAACAGTTTTTCAGGTCCTCAGTGAGTCCATTCCACAAACTCACTCCTCTTACAGAAATACACATAGACTTAAGTGTTGTTCTGACTCGTGGTTGATGTAATCTATGGACTCTTCTCAAACTCACTTGGAGCTGAGTGTCTCTAGTGTTTTGATACCTTGAACATAACTTGTGCAGTTTTATAATTGACCAAGTCCTCTAATTTTAAATCACTGTTCTTAAGAAAAAGCCGGTTTGTGTGTTCATTGTAAGGGACTTTATGAACAATCCTAAGTGCTCTTTTCTGGAGTGTAATCAAAGGCAATAGGTTTGTTTTATAACAGTTTCCCCAAACTTCAAGACAATAATTCAAATTGTCTTACAATTGTCTTAATTACAGTACTATATGTTCCTCCAACTCATGGTGTTATCCCTGGGAAAAGAATTGCCGTCGTCTGCAGATTCTTTCAACTTATGTCCTCCTCTGTTTTCTCATACACACAGAGGGCTAATAGAAGACACACATGTTTTGAGCCTATAGCCACCTATGGTAAGATTTTTATTCTAAACTGTGAGTGCCATAGTCTCAGAGCGTACAACGGCAATATTTATGTGAACTGTGTAATGGAGCTTTAGAAATGACCTGGAATGGAAATTTAGAAAACAACCTTCTTTTATTTGTATTTTTGTTTTGTTTTTTTGGTTCTGCAAATTGACGTTTGTGTCCTTCTTTGTTGACTCTCTCAACTCAAAGTATAAAAAAGCTTCTGAGATCAAACCACATGACAATAGTTCACACGATTCATAATTTATCTGTAACAAAAGGCAGATTCATCTCACAAATTACTCCAAAACCTTTAGATGTAACTAACCTAAACATTTTGCTTTTCTGGTTCACAAAGCTTGTAATCCAAATGAAATTGTTAGTCAACCAACAATTCTTTCAATCAATTTATTTTTACATGATTGTCAAGCTCACCGTGCTGTAGAAGGCATAACATGACCTGTACAAAGCTATCCAACATGCCGTTTAGCTAACTGTCATATTTGTTCCATATTGCGTCCCTTACCCACTTGCTAGTTTGATTTTGGGCCCCGTGTGACATCAACTGTGATTTGGACTGCCTTTTTTTTTACCTTTGATTTTGTCACGTTCATGTAGAATGCAGACAGTGATGGATGCTATGGGCTGATGTGTGAGTTGGCCTTACACTGGTGGCTCCTTGTGGATTTTTGACCTTGTGGTTAACACAGGGGCCTTCCAGACTGCACACCGACAGCAGACTTGGGACCGGCCCTTGGGTTCTTCTGTTGGCGCCTGTGATGGAAAATTATGCACTGCTCACTCTGCCAGATCAAGGTCTCAACGTGGCTTAGACATCACTAAGTATTGGCTTACTCCTGTTGTGCCAATACTGTGCATACCCCAGTTTTCCTCTTTTTTTTCCCGTAAAAAAATTAAAACCATGTATCATGTTTTGCTTTCACTTCATATTCTGTTTGTGTAAATAGTGCAAAAGAAGTAAGTAGTTGTAAGTAGTAATAAGTGTAAATGGCCATTTTGAAACCCAATGTATATTATTCTAACTTGCAGCCCATGATTGTCACAATGTTGTCCTGAGCACTCGTTTGTCTGTGTTTGGTGAATCCAATTGAAACCCTGTGGAAACCATAAGAACACGTTTGTCTGTGTTGGTGAATCCAATTGAAACCCTGTGGAAACCATAAGAAAGAAACCTAACTTAAAGGAGGATGAGTTTTTTTATAAAGAGGAATGAGCTATACTTGCAGTCTCCTAATGTCCAAAGCTTGTAGAGTCATACCCCAAAAAGTGGGTTCCGCAAAGTGCTTACTCCTGTTGTGCCAATACTGTGCATACCCCAGTTTTCCTCTTTTTTTTCCCGTAAAAAAATTAAAACCATGTATCATGTTTTGCTTTCACTTCATATTCTGTTTGTGTAAATAGTGCAAAAGAAGTAAGTAGTTGTAAGTAGTAATAAGTGTAAATGGCCATTTTGAAACCCAATGTATATTATTCTAACTTGCAGCCCATGATTGTCACAATGTTGTCCTGAGCACTCGTTTGTCTGTGTTTGGTGAAGATGGATTACCCGACAAAGTGCTGCAGACAGATGCGCCTGCTGACACATTATTAAGGACTGAATACACAAATTGGCAGTGGAGTGATTCATGGTAGAAAACTCTTGAAAAAAAGAAAAAAAAAAGTCTACCTCTTGGGTTTAGTTTACTTTTATCTGCTGACTGCACAATCACCACATTATACAACCAACTTCACGAGTTAAAACGCCCCGCTTCCTTCATGCCTTTGATGTCCATTTGCATTGGGAACTCTCCACTCTCACCTCTTCCCACTTACTTTCACTTTCTCAACTTTCTGCTCTCCCCTCATGCCCCCAACTCCCTCAGCTCAGCCCGATCTCTTACATATTCCTTTTGCAGGGTTTGGTAGGCCGAGAGACCGATATTTAACAAGCACTCGGCAGACTGTATGACTGGATGTGGCAGCTGTGAAGGAGGTTGATGTGGCCCTCTTTACCACAGGAGAGTGAATCCCAAAGAGGGAGTCTCCAGATGGGCACAGTGTGAAGCAGGTCACCCCTGGTTCCTCTCCATAAGACCCGTATGGAATAAAAGTGCATATTTGAATACTAAGTGCACACGTCGCATGTAATTAATTATCCCAGAGAGCTTTTATGGAGCAATTTATGTATCACACCTGAAATACTAATACTAAACTGGTTTGCCTCTTCAATTAAACATAAGTGGCGTGCAGCTTCATAGTGCGTTTGAGGGAGGTCTTTGTCAAAGACCTCATCTATGAATGATGTGTGGACGTGTGATTGGCAGTTCCCAAGAGCCTTTGCGTAGAGCAAAAGGGGACGGGCTGGACAAGTGCGGCTACAGAAGTAACTTACCACCATATGAATGAGTAATGTCTACAAACACGCTTTGAAGAGCCTTGCCATGCCTTGACAGCACAACTATTGTTATTCGAAACACACTCTCTTGCACTTTGAAACGTATTTCTAGTAGAACTCTGGGATGACAGTATCAGCTTCATTGAGTTTTAAAATTCTGACCACTGTGCTTGCTCAGAGCTACTGCCGTCTGATTGGTTGATTGTACATTTACATG